GGGAGGCAGAAATCAGAGTGCAATCATTTTATGCTTGAGCTGTTGGAAATAGTGTTGTGACTACTACTACAAGCTGCTGTCAGTAGGACTGGAGACACTAGCACTCAGACTGAAAGGTCACTATAGTTTTTCTGACAGCAGTCACAGCCATATCTTGCATCATTTTACTTTGAAATGGAATTCTAATGAGATGCCTTTCCACCATGTTTCAAGCTGTGTGATTTTGATCATTTAAGAAAAATAAACTAACTGCATCTATTAGATAAGCTAGATACCATGTGCATAATCACTGCACGATGCACAAGATTTCATTTCTTCCATGGTGATTTTGCACTCTGATGTTGGTTTCACACAAGCAGCTTATTTGAAGTGTTCTGAATTAACATTGTAACTAGTAATGGAAAAAGGGACTTCTAGATCATTACCCATCTGTGAGAAATGCTGTGAAGTAGAGGTTATCCTAACCTTGGTGCAGGCAACCTGTCTAGTTCCCCTTAAGCCTTCTTCTCTATGACTTGACTTGCTTGACCAAGTGATTTGCTGCAGGTAACACTGTCATCATGGACTCGCTGCAATGACTGAGTCATCCATGTTCCCTTTCCATAGGCACTTGCTCGGACTTCTCTAGAGGTTAAGTGGTATCTGAGTGACAATGAGGCTGACTGCCTACATCCAGGATGCTCTAGAGTTAAACCTACCTGACTTTCTCCTGCCTGCCATGGGGGGAGGCTACCTGCCCTGTGAAGAGCGGACCTAAAGCCCTCATGATACCGTGGCCTGCCTTCTGCAGCAGAGTTGCATGGTTCTTTCAGGGTTTCCTGGAGTTCTGAACATTTACATTGTTTTGTGAGATTACACGAGTATCTATACACAATTTTAAACAATATTTTATTTAAATTTCATGTATATGTTTTGCCACAAAGTTACAAATTATTTATTGCACAAAGCAGTCAAATAAGTGCAATACACTATAGATAAAACAAGGAAATAAACTACAAATATCTACAGTATGGTGGAATCAGTCATATAAAAGTATTATCCATGTCTTTAAGAAAAGGAATATATTTTTAATCCATGCTGAAGTATGGAAAAAAAAAGTAGAAATTAGCAGGCAGGAAAGTGACAACACAGTAGAAAGAAAAAGGCTGGAAGGAATAAGGAAGCATCTTACATTTCAAATATGTAATGAAGTTACTATCACTGTACTAATTCTGTGAAAAGAGACCATGGATGGCAGTTTTCCAATGGCTTATGAAGCTATTAGCAGAAGTACTAATGGGAAGTAAGTATTTGCCCTATTGAATTCATGATTTTACCAGTAAAACAAGTTCTGATGCCAGCCAAGCACTACCGGGAAGGCAAGACTTTTGAGTCAGTGCAGTAATTCCCCATTGTAGATGCGTAACCAGGATCAGTATTGTCGTGGTTTAACCTGGCAGGCAGCCAAATACCACGCAGCCGCTCTCTCACTCCCGCCCACCGGTGGGGCGGGGAGAGAATCAGAAGGGGGAGAGTGAGAAAAACTCATGGGTTGAGATAAAGACAGTTTAAGAGAACAGAAAAGGGAAAATAATAATAATGATAGAATATACAAAATGAGTGATGCACAATGCAATTGCTCACCACCCACGCTGACCGATAACCAAGTAGCGATCGGTACTTCCTGGATCACGCCTACCATTCATATACTGAGCATGACATCACATGGTATGGAATACCCCATTGGCCAGCTGGACTGGCTGTCCTGATTATGTTCCCTCCCATCTTGTGTACCTAGCTCAGTCAGTAGGCATGGGAGCTGTCCTTGGACTAGGAGGGTACTTAGCAACAACTGAAAACATCAGTGTGTTATCAACATTCTCCTCATACTAAATCCAAAACACAGCACTAGGAAGAAATTTAACCCTATCACAGCTGAAACCAGGACAAGTATTTATTGAGAAACTGTTCTTAAAAACTTGGCTTGAATGTAACTAGATTATTCAACGATTTGTAAAGAATTCAGTAAGTGGCAGTAGTATATCCAGAATATACTTATCAATGAGACCACCTTATTAGGAGAATTAATGAAGCTTCATTTTGAAGCAATAAAAGAACAGCCTTCTTCCAGAAGCCCTATTTGTACATGGAATGCAGAAGTGGATGGCAGGAACAGTCTCAAGTGACTCTAGAAAACAACTGACTTGCTGTTTCCATTCTGTTCATGCTTAGCCTTGTCTTTCAGCTGTTAAAGACTTCGTGTGTTTACAAATGCTGTCCTTAGACAAGACTTTTCTTTTATTCTATACTAAGGCTAAATTCTGTTAAAGTCATATCAGTAAATAAAAGCACATATCATGAGATAAAAATCACAATTAACAGTAAGTATCATGAGAAGGTATTTAGCAGCAAGCACTGGGAAATGACCCTACAAGGATATAGTGCTGCCATCTTACAATTTTGTCATGAATCTCAGGATATTTGATTAAAATTCCAGGTTTGAGACATATTAGCCTACCAAGAATAGGCCTATTGCAATATATGCTCTTCTGTATAACAGTAATTCTAACCTCACATACCTTGTGTACTTGAAAACGTGTTCCAAAGGCTGAAACAGCAGAAGATTTATAATAAAAAGATTTCTTTCTAATCTCATACCTATGAATCCTTTGACAATGGTCTGATTTTAGCCAGCTAGAATAAAAATAAAATAATAAAACTTGTTATTGATAAGGGATCATTGTTTAAATGTGAAGAAGATTTCCACAAAGCTGTGGAACATTCTAACAAAATTTTAATTTAAATACTCATTTCATAATGTTCAGACTGCAATAAAAATATCAGAACAAGATTTTACCCTCTGAGTAGCCAGAATTCCTGCTTTGTCCTGACTTATTCTTGCTCCCAGCTTCATGAACATGCAGCAAATAGCAGTCCCCAAATTATAAAAAAGTATCTACAACATTGCCTGGTCACCTGTACCTGAATGCAAGACCTCCACCCTTCAGTAACTCTCCAGTTGCCCACTGTCCTGGTCAGGGTTCAAAACTAAGACTTTAGTACTTCAGGATGGATCCCTAAAGCTAGTGGTAGGCATGAAATCAGAATTGAAATAGCCATGTCATCCATCTTGTTGTCTTAAAAAAACAAAACAAAACAAAAAAACATTCTTCTATATATACCAGGGGGGTAGTCTTCTCTGACTAAGCCATCGACTGATGGTGAAAGTTGTATCATTTAACAAGAAGTAGTATCTGAAAACATCTCAGCACAGCTGTCTTAATCATATTCTCTAGTTCCTGTGTGGAACTGCCGATTCGGGACTCCAGTATTTATATACCAAGTGCCACAATATGGGTACCAACACCATGTGTCATACATCAGTGAATTTATTCATTAGATGTGAATACTTCCCATTAACAATGTTGGTCCTGGTTTAGCCAAGACAACACAGAATTTATCACTTCAAATTCTAAATGCTTTTGCTACAACATTTAAAATCTACATTAACTTTCAAGTATGCAGGTGAATTTATAGAAATTATATCAAAAAATTTAGCATAGCTTTACATTAACAAAACTCAAAACAGATAACTAGTTGCATTGCAGATCACTCCATATATCTCTTTCTAGTCTCCATAAGTCTTATGATTCATAATACAGTATGAAATATGATATAATTACAAGTGTCAGACTAAAAGGTTGTGCCACAGAAGGAAATCCAAAGGACCTGGCTGCCTGAAGCCGATGATTACGTAGGTCTAGGCGACAGGAATTTTGTACTTCTTCTTGCGGAATTTCACTTTCACCTACATCCATTAGTCCACTAATGTTCCGCACCTAGAAAAATTCAAAAGGTTGCCCCTGAAAGCCAGACTGGCACAACATCAAAAAGCTTTATGCAGCTAGCAAATTCAATGTTATTTCAAGTGAACCAACTCAAAATGTACTGCAAAACCACATCTGAATGTGAGAAAATCAACATCATTATCCTGATGTTTGCATTACTATGAAACACTTCCCAGAATTCAGTACAGATACATTACAGGCAAGAGTCACAGGTCTGGCTGTTCTTTGTCTTGGCTCCCTCCAAGCTGGAAAACCTTAAGCAAACTCATGAGCTTTCTTCCCTGAAGTCAGCTCACAGGCTCAAGACAGAGCTTCATACGTTTCTAATTTAGAAGGAAAAAAATTACTAGATGTCACAGATCAGTTAGGTGTGATGAATTTCAACCTCTTCATAATGTCGGTCTGCCACACGTGCAACTCGGCATTAGGTAGATATTTTGGCAGACTAACTGGAACAGTACAAAGTTCCCTGATTTCTGTTCATCTAACATACCCCAAAAAGGCAACTGGAAAAAAGATCACTGTGAAATACATGTTGTCTATAAGGCTTTGCGTATAATGTCTACTTACTTACCCCTGTAAATAAAAACAGTAGGAGGCAAGCAGTTTGCAAGTTTCAACAGAGCCTTTTGAAAAAGTTACCATTTAGGGGGTCCTTACTCTCATACAGTCTCTTTCCTTCCCTCCTCTCCTCCCTCATCCTTCTGGATTAGCTTCTACCATTAACACTTAAAGCTCGTTGTGATCTGGTTATGTTTATGGCTTGTTAGTGATCTGGTACTGGCAGAAGCCCTTTGGGTAGCTGCCTAATCCCATGACAAGAATTAAATTGATTTGCAGGAGTCAGCATTCCTTACTGCATCAGCGAACACAGCCAGACTGTGACGCTGGTACGTCCGCAGTTTCTCCAAACCACGAAGCGATTCTATTTAGAAGTCAGTGACGTGTACTTATCAGATTACCACAGAGAGAAAAAGTTCCAAAGAGCTCTGTCCACTCTCTCTCACTTTCCTTTATTCTGCTAACACTCTCTTACCATCTTGGTTTCTTTCCCAGCATTTGGAATTATTGCATTAAGTGCTTACATTCCCTCATAGCTCTCATTGAGAAAGAAATAAATAAATAAAATAAAAAAAAAAAGGCAGCAAGGCACCAACAGTTCTTCTCTCCCTCTTAGTAAGAACCAAGATTCAGTTTAGTTTTTAATCTTACATTTTCCACTTCCCTGAAGACACGGAGAAAGTTCTCCCTTAAGACCCCTTTCAGTTCAGTTTCATTCCATCCTCTTCTAAGAAGTTCCTCAATCAAAGAAGGGTATTTAGAAACGTCTTCCAGTCCCTCAGGGAAACTGTTGGCAAGAGTTACACAAGAACATTCAACACACCTCACTGAAAAAATGTAGGAAAATAATTTTTAATTAGTCTTTTGCACATATTCACTTTTGGAATGAGCTCACTTTGGACCCAATTCTTCCTCTGAGAAGTTAAAAAAAAAATTAAGAATTCAACTGACATAAACAGAAGCAGGACTGGGACACAATGAAAGGCTTTTTCTGCACAGAGGATCCCATTATCAGAACAAAACTCTGTATTCTGGAATGAAGATGCACTTGTGTATAGGCAGAACAACAGCATGGAGGATATTAAAACAAAACAAAAATACAAACTCATATATGCATTAATCCACTCTTTATACCTGGCCTTTAGAGTAAGAGGAAACAGCTGCATTACAGATGGACTTGGTGCAATCCACTTGTCTAACTGAGAACAAAAGCAAACCTGCAAACACATGATGAGCTAAGGAGTTGCAGGCAATTTTGTGTAATCTGTTTACAAAGTCGTTTTTCCAAAGAAAATACAATTTGAGTAATAATATTGTTTTGAATTCAGCAGTTTAGGCAGTGAAAAGAAAGCTATTCAGAACCCTCTACAGAAGAAATTACAATAAGCAAAATTGTCCTATGTCTTGTGCTAATTCTTATCAGAATAAAAAGAAATTAGAAGATGCTGCAAAACCTGCATTGAACAGCTGTTTTAAATTTTATTTCCATGAGTCTTTGACTTTATTTTGAGATAACTAATATTTTCTGTTATTTTTCTTTTCTGTGGAGGTGTGGTGATAGGCATATCTCAAGAAATCTGTGCCATTACTTTCTACCAGGACTTAGGACCTTAACAACTCCACCACCAATTTAAACTGATGGTCTTTGCGAAAATGCATGCAATAAAATGTCTCCTTTTGTTGCAAACTGTGTTTTTATTTTGGAGATTATAATTTCAGAGCTATGATTAGCTAACTCTCATGGGAGCTGACACACTGTTTTTGTGGTCCTACTTTACAGATGTGAGTCTGACTGTGACCTTCATACCCAAGTGTGTCTGACCCCAGAAAAAAAAAAAAGAGGAAGAGATGAAGATTCAACAGAAAGATAAAAAGCAGAAAACAGTTTAGGGTTAAGACAGCAAATGCCACCCAATCTGCATTTATTTCCTGTGCTGTAACAACACTAGCTCAGGAGTGAGCAGGAGAGATTATGTTGTAGGCTGTTCACCATGCTCTGCTTGCCTCAAACACTTCCCAAGCCCCAAAAGCAGGAGTGGTTTCACAGCCCTGAAACACTTTGGGTTTTCCCCACTAGAAAGTAATAGTGGAGGAAAGAGTTTGCAGCATCTCCCTGGGCTAACCCATTTACCATCTAAAGGCTGAGGCAGCTTTTCTGTCTTTCATCTTTGGCTTCTGGAGGAAAGCACCCTCTATCACTGTTTCCGTATGCGCAAACCACTGCCTAGAACACACAATTGTAGAATTCACAGGGCATTAGGATCTGTTTCCACATTTGTAGCACTGCTTCACACCGTTCTAAAAAGGAATCATTGTGCCTTTCTTTCATGAAACTTGTTTTAGTACTCATCACAAGACAACTTGCTACAACTCTTTTAGTCTGCCTTCTTTTTTCCCCAAAAGGAATAAAAACCTTCATAATTTAAGGAGCAGATGTCAACGTATGTACAATTTTACTAACCGTTCCACTCCATCATAGTCACCACCAATTCCTATTGATTCTGAACCTGCAATTTTCTTTATGTGGTCAAAATGATCTGAAAGAAAATATCAAAGAAAACAATATCTAAGCATCCTGCAAGAAGAAATAATACAGTTCAGACATATTGGCACTAGGTGACTGTTCTCCTTAATCATGGCTTCTTAATCAAATCCTTTTAAAAAAAAGTCAAAATACATCCTGATAATATGGGTTAAAATTTAATAACGCAGTTGACATATTCTGGATATTTCCTGATGCTTAACTAGATGTTATCTGTTATTAAGCACATCAGGCAGCAACCTTCAAAATAACAGCTACCCTGATGAGATGCAAATAAGGAAAAAGACATGATCATCACAGCACATTAATTCCCAACAAGTAGTCCACATATACCAACAAATTTTTCATTACCCATTACATACCTATGTTTTCCACTCTTAACTACAAAGGTTTAAGATGTTTTCCAGAAAGTAACAACTACTTTGGGATTAATGGTTCCTGGCTCCATTTGGGAGCATCATGCCCTCCAGCTACACACCTTGTACCTTCTTGTTATTTTTTAACTAATATTAGCTCCAAAAATACGTAGAGCTGGGGTAAGGTGTGGAAAGGAATAAACAAGCAGTATAATTTACATGATCTCAAAAATGACACAGACACCAGGATATTCATAGAAGCCACCCACAAAAACTACAGTATATTAACTTCAAACCTGCAAGGTTGGAAATATTAACAACTTTTCTGCCACAGGCCAGTACATCTGCATTGAAAGTCACCATGATAATTCCCTTGTTCTTTTTCTGAAAGATATGAAGAGACAGGTGATGAGTGGACACTCGTGTGCCCAAACCTCATGGGCATCTCATATAGGTCCTTCTACATCCATCCATCAGTGAGCGTAACAACACTCCATAAGTCAAAGCTTAGACGGCAACACAAGGCTTTGCCCCTCTGTCCTTTACCTGGGTTAATTATAGTCTCGTGTAGCCTGAAACAGCAGAAGTCCAGTGACTACATTAAATAAACTCAACCAGAATTTCAAAGTGTTTGCAAAAACTTCATTTTTGTAGCCAAAGAAAATGTCTCAGAAAGTGTAACTTGCTGCTCAGGGATCTGCTTATAAATCCAATTCATAGATGAGAAGGTGAAAAGTAAACACCACGACTTGAATGTGCATGTTTGCCTCAGACTAGCCAAACATTGCCTTTAAAACAAAAAACAAACAAAAAACCCCCAAAAACAAAACTAAGAAAAATAAACAAGCAAAACCCCAAAACCAAATACCATATCGCTCACCAGTTGCTGGAGGATATCATCAGGAACATTTCTTGAGTGATTACAAATAGAAGATGCTGAGGAATGGCTGAAAATTACTGGTGCTTTTGAGATATTCAGTGCAGCTTTTGCTGTGGAATATGAAGTATGAGATAAATCTATCAGCATTCCCAGGCGATTCATCTCCTTTACCACTTCCTAAAACAGATTTACAGACAACAGTGTCGGTATTAAGTTTCCTTAAAGGAAACCATTTCGCTGATATATGTAAACAGATAAATAAATTCTTCAGCTGTCAGCTAGTCATAAACATGCTATGCCTGTTGGGGTTTCTATTTACCTATTAATTTAATAGTAATTTATTCACTCACAATTAACTAGCACACCACCACATGCTCAAAACTTAGAAAACTTAGTCAATCTAAAATAAGTAATTTGAACTGTTATTCACATCCCACTAATTCTGCATATTAATTCATGCACCTGATCTGCATTAAAACAATTGTTATAATTAAATCTAGTGCTTCTTTTACCCTAAGGAACATCACAGGGAATTTGGTTTGACTGAACCTTGATCACCTCCTAACTGTCAAGAACTTATTAGTTCAGTAATTAATTTTTAATGACAATTTGCTTTTGAAAAGATAAGGCCAGAAGTTGTTAGTTGCATGAGAGATTGCTTAGATTAGCATTCGAAAGAGATCCTTACTTGGCCAAATGCAGTCAGACCAGTAACACTAGGATAGAAGTTGTGTATTCCTTTAGATGAGGATTCAGACCTTAAAAAGGGGTGTGAGAGAGGAGAAGCATCATATTATTCTGGAGACTACAATATCAGCAACTGAAACTTCTTATGCTACACACAATAAAAATCATTACCATGTCACATAGCCAAATGTAGGGATAATGAGCTACATAATACGTATCTTGTTCACACAGTGCTTTTTATGTTCATAACTGTTTTCTGGATGTTATGCCTTCAGGTTCAGGACTGCTGTATGTTTGCGAAGCAATGCAAGACAAGCAAAGAGATGCTTGTCAGAAACTTTCTGATTAAACAAACCTTCATCAGAGAACAATGATACACTGAAATGTCAGTTACCCGTCAGCCAGAAAGCTGGCTTTTCAGCCCTCTCTGCACACAATTCCCCTTTACCTGAGTCAGTACAAGAAGGAATTTTGTCAATCCAGCAAAGAGTAGGTACTAATATTCTGATACAGGAACTAAGTACCCATCTCTGTAACTGCTTATGGGACCTGCACTTTTGAGCTGGTCAGACAGGAGAGCGTTGAAGGCTGCTGGCTGCTGAGTTCTTACATAGCATTTATCCTCTTTTATCTACATCATATGCATTTTTAGTACTTTTTTTTTTTGGCCTGTTTTGCCCTATGTAACTTTCCTAATAAAGCAAAGGGGATACCAATTTTACCATCTTCATGTTGTTAACAAGGTTTAAAAGTTCCCAAATTGTCAGCATAACAAGCACTACATAACAGATCCTTCAGTCTCCCACTTGACACATGGCAAGTGGTTTACCCCAAAAACCTATCATCCTTGACTTGGTTCAGAGTCTTTTACAGATGAACTCTGTGTCTGAATCCATATTTTCCCCACCTTGGAGCTGCCACCACTTTGCATTAGATGGTCACACAAAAACATGCACATTAGTTACCAAGGCGTATTGCAGGAAATCATGTAACGAACACCCAGGTCATAATACATCCTCAGTGTTGCCAAACTGCTGTCAATGGAGTGACCACCTTCTATTCCAATCAAACATGCAATCCTTCTACTGTCAGAGATACCTGGAAACAACAAAGGAAGATAATTCCAAAGTAATTTCATGACAGGTAAGAAGCCAGCACTGTTGAGCAACAATTGTTATTGTAAATTGCAAACAATAATACTGACATTTTCATAGAACTGGAGCTTATATTAGTGCATGTTTATATGGCAAATTTTCTCATGACTGCAGTGGGCCAGGACTGTGCACAGAGTCAGTTATTGTGGTTCAGTGGAAAAACTGAAGTTAAAGTTACTCTTTACACCAGGATAACTTGCCTGTTTGCAGCTCTCTGTCTTTTGCACATGCCTCCTGCAATCCCATTTAAAAAATTTCTGTTACAAGAAAGAGCATCACCTTGCGAAGTTGTCACAAGTTCAAGTTCTTCATAGCTGTTACACATCCTCTTGACAACATCAATTTGCTCTAAGGTCAGACGCACAGCATCCTTGTTCTGAGCGCTGCAAAGAACATACACTGACCAACACTGTAAGAGACATTGACAAGTAAACTAGATAACTTGTGTTTCAACTTGGAAACTTTCATTTGCTAATAGTGAAGCTCATGAGCACAGACCAAAATAATTTCCTACAGTTTACAAGGGAGTTGCCACTATAATTTTTCCCGCCAAAGGAAGAGTTACAATGCAAGGCAAGAGCATCTACTCCAGACATGAGTAAAGCCTGCTGACACACTCAGCTACTCCACAGTACACGCAGGAAAGCAGATGTAAGATTACTTTAATTTATTTATCACAAAACAAATGCCACTGTTTTGGTTAAGGGTACCTGGATTATAAAACACAAACTTTTGAAACACAAATGTTATGGAAAAGTGTCTGTGGCTTTTCAGTTTCATTGGTTTTTATTTTTCAAGAAAGAGCCAAAACCGAGGCCAGGAGTACTTTTGTGATTGGGAAGGAGGCAAATGTAAAAATATGTTCTCAGACTCACAACTATGGCAGTACATACCTGAGCTCCCACATAACCAGCCTGAAGTTTTGCAAGGTTTGTGTGGGTCTTGTTGAGTTCTCTTAAGTTGACTCTACGGAGTCTATTTTGGTAAAATATTCTCAGCTGCAGTACAAAGTCATTGTGGCTAGAATTGAAAACAAATAGGGCTTGTGACAGAAATAAGCTGTTTCCCTTCAAACCCAAACGTAATTTCTTCCACTGTTCATAGTCCCTTAGACCATTAAGTGCCAATAATCCTTGCAGTAACATATGCTTAAAGTCTCCCTTCTTTTGCAATCAAGCTTTATTTCTTAATTAGGACAGCAAGAAACTTTTTGCTTCTCCCATTTTTATAGCTGTTGTGTTTCTGTATCTATTTTTCTCCCTATCGTTTCTGAAGGAATGGAAGAACTGAAATCAGCTACCATGCTCTTTAGAAGCAAGTACTTGTGGTAGAATAATCAGCGCTGCCTGCGCTAGAAAAATCAGTGTTTGTGTTCCCAGGTTAAAATACACTCCACAGACATCATTCCTTCAAGTTGTAAGGGTATACCTTTCCAGGTGTGATGCCTGCTTTCTAACTCTGCACAGAAGTCATTGCTAATGAAAGATGCCATTAAATTACGGGAAGGAGACAAGGATATTATGTAAAGGGAAACAATAATTAAGGGGCAAAACCTGACCAGAAAATGACAAATGCATTTAGAATAAGGTGATCCTATAGTAAGTACCCTCTAAACCAAAATTTATTTCGGAGAAATCACTTCAACAGTAACTAACTGCTATGTGCTAGTAACAGCCTACGTGTCTACTGTCCAAACACACTTTAGCATTTCCTCCTCACTTGTCAAGATTCACAAAGAGGGTTTAGTTGAACATATTTTATATACCCATCGATTAAACGTGCATCTTGCATCAGCTCGATAGCTCTCTCTCTCATTGATTTCTCATAGCTGAGTGGCACAGTATCAGAGAAGAACATGAACAGCCACAGCAACAACTTTGTTGTATTTCTCTTCGTTTCCATTTTTCAGTTTGCTAAAGCAGAGATAACACAATTATTCGCTGATGACAATGAAACAGCAAAAATTCCAGTCTGTGGAGGTTGTAGGCTTAATAGTATAGGCAGAGCCAAAATGCCTCTCCTTCTGGTAAGGCTGGGGTGAATTCTGCAGGAGGAGAAAAAGAAAGAAAGAGAATAATAAACAGAAGGGAAGGTAGCAGTGGAAACTGTAAAACAGCTACCTTCTCCCAAAGGCTTTAACGTCTCTGGCTATTGTGTTTTTGCACATACAACCACTCCTTAAACTCTGCTGCTGCCACCAGCTGACTGCTGAAGTGAACCAACTCCTCAGACAGAGCTGCCAGGGTGAACCTGATGGACCCTGGATTCACACCCTCCAAAAAGCAGCTCCCAAAACAGTGTAATGAGAGAGTTTTCTCATTACATTAACGGGTTTGTTCTCATTATTTGGGAAACCTCACACTGAAATGAACACTGAAGCTGTTTTTGAGAAATTCCAAAAGTCAGCTTCTTCTGAGTAAACTGTATTGTTAAAAAACACAGCACGTCAGAGTATTTTCAGAGGAAAGCTATTGAAATCCAACAGTTTTCCATACCTTAGCAAGGACAATATGTGCCAAACTTGAAAGGGTCACTTTATTTCCATGAGGAAATGGGTATGACAACAACTTCAAGAGTAATCCAAGCACTCCCTGCTCTTTTTTAAAATATAGTGCTCAAACACTTGGACAACAGCCTTTCAGGTGTCAGGCAAAAAGCATTTTTACAAACAGATTAGAAATATCTCCTGTTCTATGTAAAGTAAATATAAAATCTGCTAGGAGGTGACAATACCTTTGCAGGGAAAAGGTTGGGGTTTTTTTCCCCCCCGCATTCAGAGTTACTGGCAGCATTACCTATAAAGCTGAGGAGCAGTCAACTCCTTCATTCAGTGGAGTGACATCCTAATTAGATGCATGTGCCCTGTGAATTCTTTCAAAGAAGTTTGACTAGAATTCTAATATTGCAGAGCCAACACTCAAATTTTTCCAAAAAGACAACAAAAAAAAAGAAAAATAATGTTGACTTTTCGTTTGTTTTCCACTATGAGTCAGTAAAATTTACATTTATAAACTTTCTTCTGGCAGCACAAAAGTTTGTTTTTACTAATAAAGGAAATTGTTTTTATGTATTCCTTGTCTGCAGAAGTAAAAACAATAGCAAATATCCAAGATATGATAAAATTACAAGGCAATTCACCTTGCCTGCATGCTTTGCTTCTCTTGTCTTCAAGCAAATTTTCTAAAGCAACAGGAGGTGGACATAAACCCAGGAAATGGTTTTCTGATATAAAGCCACATATTCATCAATAAAGTCACAGATATCTCAAGGGAGATCCATAGGTGACAGTGGCATTGGAAGCAAATTCAAGTCACGCTAAGCAGATTACTTATTGATATTGTTCTAAACACATTTCTTTCTTCCCCTTACTAGAACACTTTGATTATAAAAATCAAAGCCAAAATAAGAGTAGGCCTGTAACCAGTATATTGAAAAGCAGCACAGTAAAAATCATTTTATTAAGATTCTTATACTTCCAGCCTATGTATTAAAGCATTTTCCTGTCACCTGCAATATGTAGAGTGTAAATCAAAGGAAAAGTTAACTGGCTTATTTGCACTGCATATGCCTGATAAAATGTAAATACATTTGTAAAGGAGTTATATTTGATAAGCCAGTATAAGTTTAATTAAGCTGTGCAATTAAGATGTTTTAAAATAAAAATTAATCCATTTTGCACATATTTTATTTCTAAATCAAAACAATGTAAAAGTTAAAAAAACCCAAAAAACCAACAGATTAAGAGATGACCTCACAACTTGGGTTTAGAAAGGTGCAAACTGCTATTCTAAAAAAATCCTTTAACTTTGACAAAAATTCGTAAGGTTCCTCTTTTGAGAAACTGGCTCAAGCCATTTTTATTTCACAAGATTTGGGAATGCATTAAATTGTGGGACCATCTGGCGGGAAGTACTTTTGAACGCTGGGAACATATAAGCTTATACAAAAGGGAGTGTAGATGGAGAAGCAGGTTTAAAATCAGCCCTGAAGTGGTCTCAGAAAGAAGCTCTAGGACAGCTGAATAAACACAGTAGTATGCAGGCACAAATGAAGATCCAATATAAGTACAATACCAGGGGAGCTGTGGCACTAACTAAAAAATTAATAACCCTCACCCCTAAATGTTCCCTACAAAAAAAACGTAACGTAAAGAATGGAATAGAGAGTACTCGTGACGTACAGAGGTCTAATGCTACATAGAGGAAAGCACTCTAGAAATAGATTTATCCTTCAAGGATGCTTAACAGTCTATGTTCTCATTCACTAACAAACATAACAGAAGTGACTGACTCCAAGTTTCTTCTCATATGTACAAAACTTAAAGAGTTTTTGGCTAGGCCCTTAGGACAATATGGGAATCAATTTACATCATAAGTCTACGCATCTGGGTTTTCTCATGGGAATTGTTTTCTGCAGGCCCAACTACTTCCCCTGGGGTCAGAATAAGGACCAGACCTTCCAAGACTGGGATGATACTCTCACACTGTCCTTCACCAGAGCACAGTTGACTCCCTAACAACACTTCAGTTTGTCCAGGATTTTTACCATAGCTTATGGAAGAAGCCCTCATTCCTTTCATGTCTGCACAATAACCAAGGGAACCTTCTATATTCTTCCCACATTGACTGATTGGAAGGGAGATTTTTCTGCTTTTATTCATTGCCACAGCTTTATATTTGTATATTGGGAAAAATTTATTGGGAGGGTCATTTTCTATCAATTTTTTTGTAATACTGCCTTTAGCAGAAGAATATTTGAATTGTCATTGGAAACAACTGTGATGCGTCCATGCTGAACAAGTTGACTTCTGTTACTACTTTTACTTAAAGAAATTGAATATTTATAGATCATGTATTTGGGAAAAAATGAGGCAGGTCACAGATACATGGGCTTACACATTATACCTAGGTACAGCGAAATCCATGTTCAAAGTATGAGCCCTGTTGTGCTATTACGACGTGGTGTTTGATTTCCTTCTCTTACTTGTTTTCAATAAAATCCATTTATGCAAGAGGGTACATTCCAAAAAGAAAAGATAAACAGAATCCTACTGGAATCTTATATGCATTTAAAACTGCGTACAGTTGATTTATTTTAATTAACCTCATGCACAAAATTGGAAGGTACTATGCAGTGGCAATATAAAGTAAACCAGGCGCAACAGCCTGCTACTTCTCTTGCCGAGCTCCTCTCTCCCAGCCCTGGGGTACATAAAGCAAAGCACACCATTAGTCCCCATGGGACAAACACAGAGGCAGTCTCATGATGCTGCTCCAGGAACTGAAATACATCTCTTCAGTTCTGAGTTGGGCATCGCAGCTGAGTCTCCCACAGACCAAAAGTCTGTCCCAAAGAAATATGTGTAACACTACAAGGGACAATGAGCACAAAGAGAAAACTTTCTTCTTACTTTCAGCTCCACTCCAGCTACACAAAACATCACAGACACACAGTGTGGAAGAGATCTGCAACATCTGCAACATACAGACACACACAGTGTGGAAGAGATAAGGAGGGAGGTGCAAAATGAAGCTCTATCTCTTCTTCCACATTACACTTCAGACCCAAAATGTCTCTTTCCATATCTACCTTTTCAACTCTCATTGAGAGCATAACTGCTTTTCATCCCCACCATACCTCTGCACACTGGATAAGCACAGCAATTTTGGGGCATCAAGCTTAGAAAAGCCATCAGCCCACAGCCCAGAATAAACAGCAACAGTCCCTGGAGAGCTGCAATAGGCGGAGTGAGTCTTTGCAGACACACGCTACAGAAATTAACCTTTACTACTTCACTCTTGTTAGCTTCTACCATTGGTTTACATTCTCCAAGCTCTTCATGAATAGCCAGGAAGTTACTATCAATAAAACATGAACGCTGAGAAAGCATACATTACACTGAGTGTTCCCACATCGGGGAGGACAGAGCTATAATGAAGCAGGATGGCCATATCTGCCATAAAAGGATGCAACAAGGGGGGTTTGCTCTTTTAAAATAGATACATTTTAATGGAAAGTTTCACAGTAAAAAAGGGAAGTTTTTCTGCATGCTTCTGTCATTTACCATCTTTGGAAGTAGGGCAAGCTGCCTGACCCCTCTTCTCCTTTCCAGCAGGCAGGCCAGACCTCAGTGCAGAAGGTTCAGTAAACAGCTGCTATTTAAGTGCAGCAAATCTCAGTTAGGAATGGCATTCCTTTCATCCCATTTGAAGTCCTTATATTCCATCTTATTCTTTACTAAAAAACTTTATGACAGCCATTACATTAAGACTCAAATTTGTTGAATTACACCCAATCAAATATATAAAGTGCAACAAAATAGAGCTCACAGCTCAACATAGTAACATATCCTGAGAAATAAAGAAGGTTCATCCCCCTCTGCAATCCAGTTATGCTGAGAGCTCATGCAGATAATCCTAGTGTAGCTCTGAATTAACTACCTCAGATCATGGCAGCAGCTTAGTTGCAACAGCACAGACAAGGTGACCAGGACCCTAAGGTAAAAACTTCCTTGCTGATGGCTGGCAAAAGCATGGATTCTCCCTATTCCTTAAATAATAATTAAAAATCATTAGTAATACATAATATTAGACATACTTTAGGAGCAGAACACATGCATCATACTATGAAGTATGTTTTTAAGAAAAGATACCAATCCCTTTGAAATTCACCTTGTCATCAAGACAGTCTCTCAAATCTTTCTCAATTTTTGCTTGAAATTCCTTTTGCTATCACCAGCCCTGAATCATGTCAGGTTTATCTGCTCCTCTGTTTAGAAACCTCCTTAGTGCTGTTCCAATACAGGCATTACAATTTATAATTTCCAACCTGCTATTCCTTCCCTGCCTGTGCAAAGGTGCAATGAAGTGCCACCAAGCAATGAGAAAACATGGTGCTGTTAA